CCACTACTCGCTACCCGCCACCCAATACGCAATATTCACTACCCACTACGTTCGACTCATTACTCACGACTCACTACTCCCTACTCACGAGTCACTAGTCGCAAGTCACTACTCACTACTCGCTACTCATGACTCACGACTCACTACTCACTACTCTCTTCTCGCTACTCCCTACGCACTACCCACTACTCACTACCCACTTCTCACTACTCGGTACTCACTACTCACTACTCCTTACCCACTACTCACTAATCACTACTCACTAATCACTACTCACTACTCACTACTCGCTACTCACTGCTCCCTACGCACAACTCACTACTCGCTACTCCCTCCTTACTACTCACTGCTCTCAATGCCCGACTCGCTACTCACCATTCACTACTCGCTACTCCCTACTCGCTACTCACTACTCACCACCTACTCCCCGCTGCCCACTCCTCACTACTCACTACTCACTACTTACTGCGCACTACTCACTACTCGCTGCGCACTACTCGCTACTCACTGCTCACTACTCACTCCTCACTACTCGCTACTTTCTACTCAGTGCTCACTGTTCACTACCCACCACTCACTATTCCGAAGCCAAACCCTCCTTGCGGGAGAGGCCCCCTCCCCAGCCCCCTGTTCGGCGCATGATGGGGGGAGGGGGGGGGGGGGGGGGGGTTCGAACCCCCCCCCCCTTCTTTTCCAGTGCCGAAAGAGGGGAAGGGGGGAGGGGGGGGGCGGCGCTCCCAAGCCCCCCCCCCCCCCCCTCCCCCCCTCATCTTAAGGGGGCGCGGGGGGGGGGGGGGTCGAACATCTCACCTCCCCTCAGATGGGCGGGAAGGGGAAGGGGGGGGTTCTGCGAGCACCCCGCTCTTTTCAATTGCAGGGTGATCCGGTGGCGCGCTTTCCCTCTTTGCCACGCAAAAGGCACATATCGGCTCGATGCTGGGATCCTCCGCCTGGAAGCAGACCATCTTGCGCCCCGACATCTGGGCGAGAAAACCGGCGTGGGAGAGGAGGAGAGGCGCGGGTCCACGCGCGGCCCGCGGGGGCAAGCCTGCTGCGGGAGGGCGTTTGTTTCGCCCCGATCTCGCGGCATCCTCGAGCTCCAGCCCATAAGCCACTGAGCGTCCGGGCCAGCAGCGACATTCGTGATCGGCTCGGGGTCGTCGCCGACGTCGGGCCACGAGATCGGGCCCCGTGAACAGCGGCGGGCGCCTCCATACTTGCAAGAAGAGCCCGAGAGAAGGTCGGCAGGAGCTTCTCAGGAAAGCCATCACCAGTAGCAAGAGGCGCCAAACTGGGAAAGGCCGACTGCACGTACTCGATAGACGCCCGCTAGCCTTCGAAGATCCTGACGACGGACGACCGATCGCCAGGGGCACACGCAGCTTTCATGACATCAATAGCGCCGTTGACCCAGTCATGCCAGGCGGCAGCGTCTCTCACGCAGCGCTTGCCCTGGCGACTGCGCCCAAAACTACAATCGCTATCCCGCATTCCGAGATGAGGTAGAAGAAACAAGTCCCGCTTCCGAGTGCCAGGTCGAGCGTGCCGATGGTCGAGAGGGAGCCAGCTGGCAGCTGCGGAGCTGGCCGACGGGCGGATTGGCGGGGGTGGGCGCCCAACTCCACCCCCCGCTCCGAGGTCTCTCGTCATCCTTGCCAGAGCCCTTGTCGCCCTTTGGCCCCCTTCTTGTTCTGTCGGGCCATGTCGCGCTCCTCAATGGCTTTGCGTTGCTCCTTCTGGTAAGCATTCATCTAGGTCAACTCGTCATTGCAAATGTCCTTCAACGCCGGCGACACGCACGCGTTCCCGCGCAGCTGATCCGCGCCCAGCAGCACGCGCGACTCCATGTTCGTTGAGTCCACGTCGGGCGCCACGCGATCGCGGTAGCGCTCCTCCTGGAGCTGTGGAGCTGAACTGCCTGGGTCGTTGGCCACCATGTTCTCCAGTGCCCTGCACGCCATCTCGTGCTCGTCGACGCCCGGCTCCTGCGCCTGCAGCTGCGTCTCCGAGAGCCATCTCGAGTGGCGCCCCGTCGGCGTGCCGCCGCGCACCTTCATGAACTTGAGGCACCGCGGCGCCGCCCGCGGGCCTCGCACTGGCCAATCGGGGAACGCCCCCTCGATCATGGCCATGACAGCCGCGCGGTAGTCCTGATGCTGCTGGCCCTGGAGGTCAAAGGTGACGGCCTGGATCCGCGCGTTCAACGCCGCCGACAATCTGCCAGGCGCCGCAGCCACCGGCGCGGGAGCAGCGACGGGCGCGGCACCCACCAGCGGGGGAGGCAGGGCCACGGGGGCCGCGGCAGCCGCGGCGCCCGCCGTCGGAAGCGCGAGGGCAGCAGCCAAGCCAGCCACACCACCAGCCGCGACAGGAGCCACCGCCGCGGCCGCGCCGAGGGGCGGGGCAGCCACCAGCAGGCCAGCGGGCGGCGCCGCCGCCACGGGGCCGACAGGCGTCGGTGCCCCAGCGGCCGCTGCATGAACCCCCCACGCAGCGACGC